GTCATTTTGAAAGACATGAAAATCTTGTAAGTCAAATTAATATTTACACTTCATTGGCTTGTGTCATTGGCTTGTGTATACTTCATTGGCTTGTGTATAGCAGTATATTAAATTATAATTGTGTATATTTAATAGGAATTTGTGGATAAAATCTATGGTTTTGTTAGAATAAAACATCCTTTATTGATAAAAATAGTGAAAACAGAACAGTTTACAAGGCTTAAGAGTATAGGTATGTTCAAAATAATTAAGTTATCATATACATATTGTGCAGGCTGTATTTATCATGATAAGTCAAAAGCACCTTATTCAAGATATGACTATTGCATTGGGTAAAGAAATTACCTATTAAAATTTAAAAATATTGTACAATACATAGAATGTATTATTTTGCTGGGAAATTTGTGAAGACGCTTAGAAAGAGACAACCTGTGTTGAATATTACTGAGTCTGATGTTTTGTGTGTACAAATTGCTGCTCTTTGCTATAACCTGGGTCATGGTCCTTTCTCTCATACTTTTGCTGACTTCTTGAAGGAAATCAAAGCTTCTAGACGTTACTGGAAAGTACATTATCAATTTATTATCTTTTCTTATTTCAATAAAGTGCAGGGCTTACGTGCTAATGTGATGATGTTCCAACATATGATTGAAGTTAACAGATTGCCATTTCATGAATATTTGGATAATCCTGAAGAAGATATTGAATTTATCAAAGAGCTAATGACAGGAAAACAAGGACCACAAGCTGTATGTTATTATTATTAACTTGTAACATAATTATTACTTATTTAGACACTACGTAAAGATAAGGTGTTCCTTTATGAGGTATGATACCATACCATATACATATACTTATACACTATATATTTCATGAGGATTACATTTTTTCATAAGTTTCACGTTTTGAAAAAATTTGCGAAATTAAAATCTACAAAATAGCATGCTGATTATTTATACTCACAAGATATATGGCATATCTGGTAATCATTGTTATTTTACAGATAGTGGTAAATAAAATGAGTGGTTTGGATGTAAACAGAATGGATTATACAATGAGAGATGCAGTTGTCTTGGGAAAAAGAATTAATTTCAAGTGGAGGTTAATTTTGAAGTTTTTTGTAATTGTATTAATTATTTTTTAGAAAATTTCTGAATAAAATACGTGTTGAAATATGTCCTGATGGAAAGAAACACATTTGTGCTAATGAAGAAGTGAGTACTACATTATATATCAATAATAATGAATATGATAGGATTTGGGCACATACAATGAATTATTTGCTGATCGCCATGCCCTTTTCAAAGAATTATATTTTGAACGCAAGAACAGGACTGTTGCTACAATGTATAATAATGAAGTGTATTGACTTAAAATGTTTGATATTTATAGGATCAATCGAATTTTATCAAAATGTGGAGAAGCTGAATTTATTAAAGGACCTGATGGGTAATGTTAACCATAGACGGCTGCAGGCCCAGGCTATGCCTAATCAAAACCACACCCAAAAGATGTGTTTTGTTATTATTAGGAGTGAGATCATCACTATAATTCATTTTTTATAACCACAACTGTTTATACACAGTATCAGTTCAACTTTACAGTTATTTTAGTGTGGTAACTGGCTTCAAGTGGCTTGTGTCATTAACTTTCTTAGATATCCTCAAAAGATTCTTGTGTAAACATAAATGTAGTCATTTAATTAATTGACCACACCCCCAATTGTTATTAATTAATGAGCCTGGGTAAATTCAAAATTCTGCAGCCACCTAAAATGTTAACATTGGAAAATAATGTTATATTAATTTTTTAATAGTAAATGGTTGTCACTTATTGATGCCATAAAAACCATGGATACTTACTGCTGCCTTAATGAAGAAATCCTTGAAGTAATAAACGAAACAATTGCTGATCCAGAGGTAAATATATACAGCCATAAGTTCAACAATGGATTTACGTGTACATTATTACTACATATACTGTATTTATTTTATATGACTTATTCTATCTTAGGTAGAAAAATTGATAAAATTTCTTAGTAACTCAAAGTTGCTAATACCAATTGGTTATGTTGAAAATTGTCAATTAGCAGGAGGTATACAACAATTGGTAAATAATACAAATACATGTATAGGCATTAAGACATAATTCATTACTAGAAAGAAGAAATTATAGAAAATGAAGATGGACTTAGTCAAGATGACATAATTGTTGATGTATGATTATAATTATTGACTACATTTAATTTTTAAACACATTTACATGTAGGTTGCAAAGTCAGGTTATGAAAGAGCTACAAGGGAATATATGTATTACATCAGTCCTAGTGGCACTGTAAAACAATGGACTAAAGAATGGGTTGGTTTAATAAATGTTTTATTACCGTACCTGTAAAATAATTATCTTACAGCACGCTCCACCAGCTGACACCTCTGCTCCATGGCGTGTATTTTATACAAAACACAACAAAGAACTGGTTACTACAATGAAGAGGTTTGTTAAAAACAAAATTTTCAGTTATAAATGATTTAATAATTATGCAGAGGGTTAAGGAGGGTGATTGATGAAAAGGGTGGAGAAGTGGTAGGTCTCAATATTATTAAGGATAATGTTATTATTACATCAATAGGATACATACGATAATGAAACTGATGTTAGTGATCTTATTCCTGAAGAGGAACCAGCTGCTTCACAATGATTAGAAAACAATAAATAATAGTTTACTAGTTTATGGCTACATTAGGTAGTAATACATTGTACATGCATAGATGTACCTGTCCATTTCCTAACATTATTTTGTTTGAGACATTATTATTACTATAAGTGTATGTATCTATACAC